TATGGCACTATTTTCCTAATTTTAAATCTTATTTTCAGAATCTACGGATGGGTGAGTGTTGAGGCCAAGATCTACGAAAGGACTCAGTGGAACTTACCCTGCGGGAAGAAGACCCTCTGAGGACCAACCGCCACTGGACCCTGGAGCAGGGAGAGTATAAGTAACCGGCACGTGACCGGCCGCTGCAGGCTGACTCGACTCGCGCGGAGCAGCTTCGGGATTTCGTCCGCCGGCAACTGCGCCCATCGCATAAGCAAACCTGCGGTCACAGCACAGCCACCAAGTCTGCTCAGAGGCCGAGTTGTTTTTCTCGCCCGACTCTGACCAGACTCTGCACGCGTCGCTCAACCTTTTTCGTGCCATAAATTCTTGGCTCAATCTTCACCCCCCCTTCCCCCCTAACCGGGTCCTCGCTTCTCATTCACTCACCAAACCAGTCAGTCAAGGTCCTCTGCTCATTCAAACCCGGTAAGTCACCCTCTTTTCCTATTTGTCAAGGCATCATGAATCCCGTTCCTTATTCTCCGGGCCCAGTCCCGTCTGCTGTTTCTGGGTCTCCACCAAACCATGGAAGCAACCCGATTCAATCCCCTCCCCGCTCGCCCGCTTCATCGCACAGTCACTCCTCTCCCGATTCTTCCTTTCATTCTTCCGCTCGTGTCAACTCTCCTCTCTATGACCCTTTCCTGAAAAACCATTACCCTGTCCACCTTCTTCCCCATTCCCTCTCTCCAATCTCGACTGATTCCCTCCTTGACGAGTTTTCTTCCCTCTTAGATTCCTCGTCAACAGGTTTTTCCCCCCCTCCCATTGTCACGGATCCCGCACTACAGCACATTTTCGTTCTGGATCCGCCTTCCGCATCCCTTCTTCCCCTCCACCTTTTTCTCCTCCCCCTCCTTCTCCCTGTTTCGCTATTAAGAATTCAGAGAAAAGTTACCGAAAGAACTTTCGGTGACTTACTCAATATCGATGACATCGTTGATTACGTTACTTCGGCGGCTTCTTTTAGGTTCCAGGACAGTAAAAGGAACCTCTTCATCCTGAAAAGAAAGCACGCTGCCGAACTCCTATCTCATTCCCTCTTCTCACCAACCATCTTCAACCATCTCGTCATTGATTCACGACCTCTCTCCTCCTTGTCCCCTCGGGAGAGCCCAACTGGACTTGGCTGAGTTTCAGGTCATAAGTGCTCAAGAGATTTCGGCAAGCTTCTTCTGCTTTGCCATGTGTATTGTCAAGATTGAGGCAAGATCGACGCAACCTTGGGTAGGGGAAGGACTGTTAACTTTGCTGCAGAACCTCCCTGGATTGGCTACATCGCCTCTACTGGCTATTCCAGTTTTGGCGTTCTTCAAGGATTTTTTCCACTCCCTTTGTGACGACGCTGCTCAGGACCTTCACCTTGATAAACTCGCAAACTGGGGTCCGGGACCCTAGTTTCGTTTTTTGAAGAAGAGAGCGTGCGGCAAGCTTCCTGTCTACGTTCTTCATCCATCTTTGCCATTGGAACCTTCACCGTCATTTACTCCGGATTATCCCAGACTTTTCATTTCTTCGAGGAAGGGTTATCGGAAGTGTGTTAGTTTTAGACATAGGATAATTAGTGATGAAGAGGAAGGGGAAGCAGGCGCATCAGGAGCGGAGCAGGAAGAAAGAGTCTGGAAAATCGGAGATTGAAGAAGCCTCCTCTTCTGATTCTCCATCTCCTCCTCCTCTTCTACTTCAACATTTTTTCCTGGTTACAAAACTACCTTCTTCTTC